ACTCACTCTCTGCTCATTTGCTTACCTCCCAGGAACCATTTCACCCTGGTTGATTAACCCTAACCCTCTCCTTCTTCGAGATTCCACATGAGGAGGGAAGTGAGGGGAAAAGAGGCATTTGGGATGACTTCCTAATTCCTGTGGGAATTGGGGGAGATATAGGTTTGGAAGTGTTAGGATTGTGGTGTTTGGGGACATCCAGGTCCAACAGGCATGAATCATGAACTCAGAATGAAACAAAAACCTGCGAGGCTTCTCTATCCTCACTAGCTGGGAAGGTAACCCCTTCCTCTCTGAAATTCCCCAGCACCTAGAACTGAATCCATGCAGGATGGTGAAAGGATTATTTAATTCTCAGCTATGATAAATGAATAGGCTTGAAAAATAATTTCCTCCTAATTCAAAATGTGTGAACATAACCATACATGAACTTACTAGACAATTATTTTTTCTTTTAGGTACAAAACTGATTATTTATTTAGAATGAAAAATAAAACGACAATGACTAACAAATGTTAAGAAATGATAGTGCCGAAACCGGTTTGGCTCAATGGATAGAGCATCGGCCTGTGGACTGAAAGGTCCCAGATTCAATTCCAGTCAAGGGCATGTACATTGGTTGTGGGCACATCCCCAGTAGGGGGTGTGGTGTGCAGGAGGCAGCTGGTCGATGTTTCTCTCTCATCAATTTTCTAGCTCTCTATCCCTCTCCCTTCCTCTCTGTAAAAAGTCAATAAAATATATCAAAAGAAAAAAAGAAAGCTGATAGTATGACAAAATTCAAAAGACAGAAATAATAACTCAAATCTTCATGGAACTCATTAATGTTTAAACTTGATCCTGACACATAACTGTCTCTGCTCTTTATAATTAAGATCAACCCATAATCCTCAAATTATTTCCCCTTCAACTTGTTCTCTTCACATACAGCTAATTATAAAACATTCAGGTGTACATCAATGCCTGGAGAGATATATGTAAATTCTATAGATAACTCTCCATGGCATTCAGCTCCCTGGACATGAGGACTGTGTTGTTCCTATTCTCCCTACCCAGATGCTTGTGCCTAAAACCTGGTAGAGCTGGCTATCAGGAATTAGGAGATGAACTTTTACTGGTATGTGATGCAATGTGGACATAAACTAAGAGGAGCTTTAGAAATGTTTGCAGCATTTTGATATTAATGTAACATCCAAAGGTAGCAATATAAATAAATTGGTCCATCTCAGAAAGTTTGTGAAGCACCCAGCCAGCATGGCTCAGTGGTTGAGCATCGACCCATGAACCAGGTCATGATTTGATTCCTGGTCAGGGAATATGCCCAGGTTTCTGGCTTGATCCCCAGTGGGGGGCATTTAGGAGGCATCCGATCAACGATTCTCTCACATCTTTGATGTTTCTCTCTCTCTCCCTCCCTCTATCTCTCTATAAAATCAATAAAATCATATTAGGACCCCTTGGCAATGGGCAAGGAGACACCTGACTGACTGGTGGTGTTTCTCTTATGTCAATCGGGGGCAAAGCAGAAGTATAGTCCTTAGTTCATCCTAGCTTGATACCTGTGTTGGTGGCCAGGGCTGTTTCATGCCTGAGGCACATTTAAACAAATAAATGTTTCATCCACAATTTAAAAAAAAAAAAACATCTTGAGAAAAAATAACAGTTTGTGAAGCATTGTGAGGATTGAGTATTCTGAATTCTCATAAATATAGAATCTAACTCATGCTTTGAAGTTCAGGTGATCTGAGATTAATCCTTAGTAAATAAGAGTTAGCCTAACTTACTTGATTTAAGTAAAACAGATATGTCTTTATTTTATTTGGGTTTTTAAAAAATAAGTTCATATTAATAACTGACTTTGATGTCTATGAAATATTTCTAGAGTTTAAATGATTTTTTAAAAAGAATAAAGGATGCATAAATGATTGCTTGCTGACAGACAGCTGAAGGCATTTCAATCTACATGTTATTGCCTCCTCATGGCCAAACACCTGAACAGCCAGAGGTAGTGGTGGGCAAACTCATTAGTCAACAGAGCCAAATATCAACAGTACAAGGATTGAAATTTCTTTTGAGAGCCAAATTTTTTAAACTTAAACTATATAGGTAGGTACACTGTTAACTTAATTAGGATACTCCTTCAATTGCATTGTACATGCGCACCCACACATGGTATTTTGTGGAAGAGCCACACTCAAGAGGCCAAAGAACCACATGTGGTTCAGGAGCCGTGGTTTGTGGACCACTGCCTTAGGACAATTTGTGTTAATAAAAAGCAAGGGGTCCTGAGACAAGGGAGAACTTAGTTTCTTTAGCCAAGCTCCTCTGGCCCCGCAAATGCCTTCCAAAATTGTTTATCTCTGGATCCTTGATTAATTTACACACAGCACCTTCTCCAGATTCCTGAACCCCTTCTAGATGCTGAGAAACACACACTGGCATTAATAGGGGACATTAAAGACTTCTCCAGAATGAGAAGCTGCAGACATTAGAGGTAGACAGCTGTCCCAAGATGACTAATGGTGTATAACTATGGGTTGTCACTGAACTCTGAATTATTTGATTTTTTTTTTTATCTGTTTGCTAATGATGTTATTCATACAAATACCTATACTTGTTCCTTGGATTTTTCTACATAGTCCCACTGCTTATGATTACTGAACATGTGTAAAATAACTGTAAATACTCTTTTCATGGCATATGTAAATGTGATACTACATGCCAAATATATATATATATATATATATATATATATATACACACACAGAAGGCAAACCTTGGGTCATAATGGTTCAGAAGATAGCAATAATCTAGAGTGCTTTTTTTTTTTTTCCACAATGAAGGCCATAAGACTTGACTGCTTTCCATTGACCTACCTTTCCCTTTTTGGGAAAATTCCACTCCAATCCGTATCCCATGGTTATGGTATTGCCCCATCCCCAGTGCTCAAGATAATGTAGATTCTGAGACTTCCTAGGAACAAGCCTTCCTAGCTCTGGGAGTCTGACCACACAATCAGAACAAAAGTTTGGCCGAAACCAGCTTGGCTCAGTGGTTAGTGTCGGCCTCCGGACTAAAAGGTCCCAGGTTCGATTCCGGTCAAGGGTATGTACCTTGGTTGCAAGCAGATCCTCAGTAGGGGGTGTGCAGGAGGCAGCTGGTCTATGTTTCTTGCTCATTGATGTTTCTAACTCCCTCTCCCTCTCCCTTCCTCTCTGTAAAAAATCAATAAAATATATATATTTTTTAAATCTTAAAAAAGAAATAAAAAGTTTGGTCATTGATATATGACCAAAAGGGGAAATTGTAAATGAAAAAGGACTTCTATGGGAAGTAACCTCACAGGGTGATGTGATCCTAAATTCAGAACTGGGAAAGTCATGGTGAATAGTCACACCGTAGGCATATAACTTTTAAAATTACGTTTTTGTTGATTTTAGCAAGAGAAGGAGAGAGAGAGAAACATTGGTGTAAGAAACATCAGACGGCCTCTTGCACACCCCCACCAGGGATGGAGCCCACAACCTGGGCATGTGCCCCACATTGAACCGGGGCCCGCTGGTGCCCGGGACTTCACTCAACCAACTGAGCCACACCAGCCAGGACTATAACGTTAGTAAAAAGCTTATCTTTGCCTTAAGTAAGCCCTGGCCATTCATTCTTCCTCTTCATCTCGGTTAACACACCTTTGAAAAACACTCTTTCAGACCCCTTCTTCTAATAGATAAAACACCCCTTTCAGACCTCTCCTAAAGCAGGCCAACCTCAAGAGAGCACAAAATCTCATTTCCTGTTCCCTGGCACACGTTTTCTCGGATGTTTCTTACATCAACAGCTTCAACAATCAGCTCAAGCAGCGTCCATCTCTCGGACCTCCTTCCTGGGCCAGGGGGCCTTCACTCTCTCTGACCGCCATCAAAGCCCTCACACTTGTATTGTTACTGCACCTCTCTATCTCCCTGGGGCAGACAGGTGGCTCGGTTAGGGGCAGCGTCCTCCTCTCTGGGCACCCAGCGGAGTAACCTGCTGGGTCTCTCCAATCCGGATCCTGGCGATGCGTGTTCTCTTTGAGGGGGAAGGATGTGTTAGGGAGCAAAAGGGATGGCTGGCACCTGTCCCACTTACCCACTGCCACCCCAAGCCCATCTGGATGGACTTTGTCCGGGAGCCCTGGCACACTCCCAGAGCTGACTTTGCAGCTCCCTAAACTCCTAAACTTTGGCCTCAGGAGCCAGGGGCAGAGGCAGGGTCTGGGTGGAGGAGAAAAATACACTAGTACACCATGCTTCTAAAGGTACAGGGAGCGGGGTCAGAAAGGGAAAAGGCTGGAAAGCGAACCAGACGTGGACCACGGGAGGTGAGGCAGAAAGGAGCTTTATAGACATGGAGCCTCTCAAGACCCAGGAGCCTGGCAGGGGCACAGGGAACACCAGGAGTCCTGGGGGTGCAGGCGGAGCTGTTAGGAAAGCAGGAAGGAGCAGAGCACCTAGTTCAGAAAGAGCTGGGCGCTCTCCTGATCACAATAATCATGCAAAGGAGGCTTTATCAGCTGCAAGCAAGAGGGATTAAATACGAGTTCTGCAGCTTTGAAACATCCCTCCGGCCCTGCTTTCTGCCCTGCACTGTCTGCCCAGAGAAATTTTGGGGGGGCACGTTCTAAGCCAGGCAGCCTCCCCGGTAGGTAGCCCTTCTGAAAAGTGCAATGACAGAGGCGAACTAGCAGTCACCCCGCCACCTTCCCGGGCTCCAGCCACGTGCCGGCCTCGGGCTCCGTTCCGGGAGGGGAGGCGCGCGACACCAACCCGGCTCCTCGCATCACATGCCAACCGCCTCCCTCCCTCCCTCCCTCCCCAACAAGGTAACGAACGAACTGGGATCGGAGCGACCGGGACCGAGCGGAGCGGGGCCGGGCCGCGCAGGGACGGGCGAGCTGGGCCGGCCGGGCTCCGAGGCCGGAGGGCAGGGTCGGGCTGGGCTCCCCACTCCCCTCCCCGCCTCACCAGGCGCAGGTCCCCGGGGCCGTGCACCACCAGGGACAGGTTCTCGGACTTGGCCGCCGCCATGTCGCTCTGCCCTCCGGGGTGGAAGCTGCGCTCCGCAGGACGCCTGGAGGTTGTGGCGGCTGCCTGGCCGGGGGGTCGAGGGCAGGAGGCTGGAGGCCGGGCTTGGACTTGGGCGAGGCGGGGGCGGGGCTTCCTGGTCGCTGACAGCGGGGGCGGGGCTAGTGAGCGGGGCCAGGCTCCGCCCCCTTTCCCCACCCCCCCTTCCTGCTTCCTCCCCTGCTGGAGCCCCTAAGGACGGATGAGGTCTCTGGGAGAGGAAGCAGATCCCCATCCTCCGTCTGCTGCACACCTGTCAGCCTCACATCCAATCAAACATTGCTGCCTCGAAAGCAGCTGGCACAGTCAACAGCCACCGGACCAGTGTTTGCAAACTTCGGCTGCAGAAGATCGGGGATGCTCCATGTGAGGCAGGTTCTGGGGATCCGCGGGATCAGCGGGATCAGCGCTGAGACACTGATAGCCCAAGCTAGGTCTGAGGAGAGGCCTGTGGGTCTGTATGGTTAGCGCCGGGAATGCTGAGGCCCAGGAACAGGAGCCTCGCTGGTGTTGGCCTGGTGCCTCCAGCATCCAGCAAAGCACCTGGCACCAGAAGGCGTGAATGAGTGGACGGGTGCATCAGGGTAGAGAGGCTGTGAAGTGGAGAGCATGTGAGGTCTTGCTCCCTGGCATGTGTCCTCCGTTTGACTCAAACGCATAAAAATTCTCCAAAAGGAAGAAACAGCTGTGAAAGGAATCTGTGAGCCTCTTTCTCCTCACTGGCTCCACTTCTTATGATAGAAGCCGGGGTTCTGCTTAGTAACTTATTCCTTCAAGCCTCTCTCCCCTTAGAGACAGTGAAGTTTTCTTCTAACGGGAGAGAGCTGCCCCACGGAGAGGCCTAACTCCATGAAGGCCCCTCCCTTTCAGAGCAGCGCACAGGATTTCATTCCCTATAACCCCTTTTCCAGACACTCAGCCAGCTCCTTGTACCTCCTCCCGGGGACCTTCCTCCAGCCCTTCAAGATGCCTGTTTGGCACTTTGTATGCCCACATATAGGACACAGCCTGTGCTTTTGTGGACGGAAGGGGCCACATGCTGACCTGACAAGCTCAGGGGAGGCCTACATGGCAGTCTTGCAAACTCAGAGACCTAAAGGAACCACAAAGGATGGTCTGAAATTAAACTTTAACTAAAAGCAGTGACGGTGGGCAGTTACGTCCTAGGCCGGTATCTTCACAGACAAGGTCAACCTTGACCTGAACTGAGCCTATCTGTCCTTTTGCATCTGTGATAACCTACCCTTTGAAAGGTCTGGGTAACTTGTTACTTCCCTTTTTCTGGAGCCCCTGAGGCACAACCAAATGTGGTGGGTGCCAGGACAGATACCACAAACTCCTTCATTATCATGTTAATTGTTCCTGCACCCACCTAAGTATGTGTCCATCATTTTTACTTTTTATCCAATCCCAGGAGTTCCCTACCTGCCCCCCCCTCCCCACTCCCCGCTTTGCTTTATCCTTCCTCCTTAATCCATCACCAAAGAATTTCATGTAACCCACCTACATCCCTCCTTTGATTGCAATGTATAAATCCAAATGTAACCCATTATCTGGAGCATTCTCTCAGTTCATTGAGGTTCTGCTTCCCAGCTTCTGTGCACAGTTTGACTCAAATAAATTCACAAAAATTCTTTACAAGTTTTAATGTTTTGTGTGTGTGTGTGTGTGTGTGTGTGTGTGTGTGTTTAATGTTAACACTTTCAATCCTTCCCCAAGGCACTGGAAGCCTCATTTCTTAAATAGAACCTGGTAAGATGTTCTGTACAGTATAGGGACTCAAAACATTTTTATTGATGAATGTGGATCAAGCTCTAGAACCTCAAAGGGCAAGTTGATAGATTTCTTGGAAAACTGACATTTTTAATATAAAAAATGTAAGTTATTTCTATAGTATTTAAACAATTTGTTGTGACATTTCTACATAATTTCCTAACAGAGACCAGCATTGACAGTGGTGAGGAACACTAGGCATTCTCCTGAGTAAGGGACAAAATGCTGGCTTTGCCTTTGCTGGTGGCCTGTGGGGCACAGCTTTGGGTTGCTGCCTGAGTTTCCCCAAACAGCACAGCGCTATGAGGCATGTTACGCCCAGACTTCGTGATCCCCAAAGACCACCAGGGAGCCGAGTCCGATGCAATAAACAAAAGAGCCTTTTCCATGCTAGCATGGGCTCTGTCCCACGCACGCCGGCAGCATGGCAGAAGAGAGCAAATTTCGCCCAGTCCAGAGGTTTTACTCCGGTCGGTGGTGATGTCACTGCCTCGGCTAACCCTGATTGGTTGGGTGAGGACTAGGGTTCAATTACAGACTGGAGGATAACTTCGCCCTGCCCCACAGTGGAGTCCCGCCCTGCCCTCTCATTCCCCCCTTGTCTAATGTGCCTGAGTCAAATCATTGACTCAGCCTACTTCCTTTCAGCATAAACAACAAATACAGTTACCAAGACCCTTAGTACCACAGTTCCCATCAGTATTGTCCTCACTGAAGTCCAGTTCCCCTCCTGCAGGCATCAGTTCTCCTCCTGGCCTGCATGGAGCCCAGGCTGGGGATCTCACAGGTGAGGCTGCTAGTTGCCAGAATCCAGGCCATGCAGGAGCTGGCAATCATGTAGTGAGGTCTGGGTGCCATCTACTTCAACAGCAGTGGGCGTGCTCAGGATAACAGTGTAGCGTCCCTTTGAGTCCTTGTGCAGTGAATTTCTTTACCCACATTGAATTCCTGGGCTACAGGGTCTGTGGTGGGCACTGGCAGTGCATCTGGAACAAGCAAACTACAGAGCCTGTAAGGACTTGAGCAAGGGAATGGTTACCATGCATGATCCCCTCCCAAAAGAGGGGAAACTTGTCCCAGTAAGGGGTACACCTGGCCATTAAGAGGGCAAGGGACAGGAGGTTGGTCCAATTTTCACCGATTCTAGTACACATTTAGTTAAACCCTTTTTCCAGAGTCTCACTTTACCTGTCCTAAGGCTAGAGCTATACTCTGAGATACCTTAGCTACCAAGGTGGGGCTGTTATCTGATACTGGCAGCCTGAATCTAGGTATAATCTCCTGGAGTAATCTCTTGACTACTATAGAGGCAGTTTTTGTCTTAGTGGGGTATACTTCAACCTAATCTGAAGTGTCTACAGAAACTAGACCTTAATGCTGGTGGTTTAATCTCTGAAATCCACCTACCAATGCTCTCTTGGGGAAGTTCCCTGGGACCCGAATTCCCAGGGGGACCCCCTTACCTTGCTTGGCATTTACCTGTGCGCAGACAGTACTTCTAGCAACTCTGCCTCACAGAAGTTTAGAAGTCTTGGTGACACTTAAGTGGGTAATCTGGTGTCACTGGGCACTCTGACCTAGAGCCTCTGGGACCAACAGTCTTGTCATCTGGAGGGTCCACCAATCATCTGGTCTGTCAGGGGCTTGCTTCTGTTCAGCCAATTCCTTCCGGCTGCAGTTGGTAACCCTCTTTTCTCTGTGGATGGCACAGTGTCTCCATCAAAGGGCCTGGATTAAGGCCAAAAGTTTTGGAGCTGTGCCCAAATGGTGTGGTCCAGGGTGACTACCACTGCCCTTGCATATCAGGTCTCATCCTGAACGTAACTGCTCCCATCCGTGAATAGTACCTTGTTGTCTGTTACCTCTGTGCAGTCATGAATGGGTTCCTCCATCATCCTCAGGAAGCAGGCTGGCAGGGTTGATGGCCAGAGTCTTATGTATCCGGACACAGGGCTGGTCCAGGAGAAAAGCCTGGCCCATCCAGGTTAGCTCCTGGCCCAGAGTCTGCTTATCTGCCTCCTTCACCAGCAGTGCTTTGGTGGCCAGTGCCTGGAAGCATGCTGGCCACCCTGCTGCCACAGGGTCCAGTCTCTTAGACAGATAGGCAACAGGTCTCTTCCAGGGACCTAGAGTCTGAGTGAGAACCCCTTTGGAATGCCCCTTACCTCACTCACGTAAAGGTGGAAGGGCTCCGCAATGTTTGGCAAGGCTAGGGCAGCTGCTGAGATGAGAGCCTTTTTTAGCTCCTCAGAGGCCCGTTGTTCCACTTTGGACCAGTTCAACAGCTGCATCCCCCCAGTATGTGTTCCTTCCCAAGACCACAGTCCTTCTTGATGTCCAAGGAAAACAGGCAGTTTGTCCGGTGGCTTCCTGGGCTGATGTACGAGTCCTATCGGCTCTCTCAAGACTAAATAGGCTGCCCCAATGCCCATCAGGAAACTAACAGGCTTGCCTCTCCTAGCTAACCTGTCAGGACATTCTCTTTATAACTTTTATAAAAATCTTATCTTCTCAAAAATACCATGCCTCAAATTTTAAAGAAAAGGCAAGGGAGGAGGGAGCAGGTCTAGTACCTGTTCCCAGGCCTCTAACCGCTTGAAATTTAAAATGCCACATTTTTCCTACAGATACAGATTTATCTGCATTTCTAAGCCCCCCTATACTCCTCCCCCGCCCCCAGAACATCGGTGAAAATTGTCCAAGCAGTCGTGGGGGGTTAAATCATACAAATAATTATTTTAACATTGTTTTAACACAATTCTAAATAAATTATAAACCTTTGTGATGAAGTCTACTTAAATCTATAAAGTAGACACACATGACTGAAACAAAAAATGATTCCCAAAGTTTAAACAAAATACAAGATGCAGGTACAAGCCCAAATTCAAACTTACAATGCAAAGCAAAACAAAACAGATCAAATATAAAAGTTTCATATGTTACATTAAACATTACTTCAGAAAAACCGACTTCAAAAAATATTGCATACTGCTTATTCTTAACACATGTTTTACAGTTTAGCCTGCCATATTCTAGGCATTTAGTTACTGCAATTAACTTTTCCTATTCAATTTATACTTGGAACTTTTAAAGCTGGCAAGTCAAATATATTTGGCATTTTTTAGATTAATAACATTACATTTCTAATACATCCTGCTTACTTAGGGTAAAGTTTCAGCAACAGATCTCGTCACACATTTTTTTCAGATCTCAAATTTTTTTCTGAAGTTCAGACAAAGCACTGAATAATCTCTTTGCAGGAGAGCTAATAGTTTTGAGCTCTCTGGCCTCCCCTAGACCTCT